ACGATCATCTTCCCTGCGCCCAGGTTTTCCAGTGGCTTTCTCTCCGAGAATCATCCCTTCCGGATCAAACTGCTTCTCAAAGATGTGTCCGCTATTTGGTGCGTTCGGTGTCACGGCTGAGATTGATCGTTCATTGGCGGCGATTGGGAAAGCCGAAGGTCGAATCGGTTTACCGAGGAGATCCGGCGTCTTTTCCGTTGCTGAAATTTGACCTGCACCTAGAGTTGATCCGGTTTCCGGTGGAACGGTTGAAGACACCGCTGTCGCTAAAGACTCGGGGTCGGATTGACTCATGGTTGTGACAGAGGTAGGATGGCGAAGAGCGTCAGTCAAATTATTGGTGGTGATAATGATGATCAATAAATGGGTGCCGCAATTGTTGTCTGTGCGGTTGCCTTTAAGTGGTCTCTTTCCTGACCGTTGATCGAAAGACAAGACTCCTCCTTTCTCGGATGTTGGGGTGATCCGGTCACACACTATGTTGCCTCTCAAGGTTACTGTCGGCGAGATCAACTCTTTCTCTGTTCCGGACGTATGGATGCGGAGACTGCGGGTGTTGAGGGTTGATGCGCAGGTTTGTATTCAAATTTGAGCGCGCCGCGACGAACCTTGATGACTGGTGTCCGCTGGAAGGGCTGTCGTTTGCGCTCTGCTCACGGGCCTGTTCGGCGCTCCAGGTGATGCAAATGTGCTGTAGGGCGATGTAGTGGACTTGATGCCGCAATGAGAATGCGGTCGTCTATCTCATGGGGTCTATAGCTTCTGTAGCTTCGCCTCTGGTGGGGACCGAAAAAGGAAAACGGAGTTGGAATTCAGCCAAGAAATCAAGAACAAAAGGCTAGCCGCAAACATCTACCAAATGACGCTGGAAGGCCACGCAGCTCACGCAGCCACCACGCGGAAAACATGGATATTGGGCATAAAATAAGCCCAGATTATTCTGTACAGTTCTGCTTTTTACACTGCCGAGGCCGAGTGCCGTACTTTGTATTATTCAGCTGCGGTATCAGATTATACAGATTATGTAATCTCTTTTACCGTTTACCGACTTCCGGTTAAGCAGTTTTGTCGAAACTGGGAGAAGTGGCGCTGCGCAGTAGAGATGAATAGCTAGTAGGGGCTGGTCATCGGAATGTGCTTGACTGGATTGAGGTTCTCCTTTCGCGTTAAGAACCCGTTATGTATAACGTGTGTATCAAGCTGCCCCTAGTATTATTGTCACCAAGCGCGACCGTTTCGCAAGTCATGTTGAATGCTACCTATCGCTTTTGGCATTGTTGACACCTGAACGACATGTGTCTTCGCTGGATGCACTTTGGAATCTTTCTTACCCATCGCACGAGGGGAAAGCCTTTGTCAAGAACAGCCCGTCGCTACGCAGTGGTGCAATTGCAAAGAACGGATCAAGAAGGCGCAGGAGACCCAAGTATGGGTATGGAGGGGCGGAAGGATTGCCGCCAAGGAGTATCGCTACGCCATCTCCATGCAGTCCGCTGAAAAGGGCCGGAAGTGGTTCAGGGGAAGCTTTGAACTTCCGATCATGCTTGCAAGCTTCAGTCGTGCAAGGAATTACTGGATCGCCTCCATTCTCGTCGCATAATACCACATTCGACCGGAGGAGCGAGATCTCCAGAAGCTTCTGGTGAGGACATCGAGTCCTGGGCTACCAGCCATGCTAATATGGATGGCAGATTGTCATGGCTTCTGAACACCTTGCTCACAATGTATCGTGTAACAATTGGATGATGTATTGCGCTGGATTGTGGGTGGATTAAACTGCAATCTGAATGCATCGTATTGTAACATATATAACATTATCGAAAATACTATATCGAAAATACTATATGGAAAATACTATATCGAAGATGATATATCGAACTTTGCCTTTGGTTGCATCTGGTCCATAATCGTTGATATACCGAACACAGTGGTCATATACCGTCTGTTAGCCAGCGCAGTAGCCCAGGCGTGCCTGTCATAACCAATGTCAATCAGTACATATGCTGGACGATGGGATTTGGTAGGCCGGAATAACTCGCCTTCCTTCTCCCATATTCTTCGAGGCGGCACCCGGAATGCATTATTCTCCACGAGAAATTGGCGCAGTGGCAACGATCCCAGTATAGGCTCGAGCTATGAGTCCTTTTTAGTCACTCATATACCTTGACACCCGCAACTCTGAACATACCCTTTCCACTAAATTATCCCGAATATCAACTTCTTCCAGCCTGAGATTGCCTTTCCATACGCCCGCGTGCAGCTCCTCAGCGACTTTGACCAAGGAGGAAATGTCTGTAATGCGACACCCTCTGATTAGTAGTCGCTTCAATCCGTTCGTGATCGCCCTGTCGACGCCCTTCAGATGCTCGATCCTAGAGCCACTGAGATTTAGGGTTTCCAGTTGTGGCATCGCTCTCGATATACGTTCAAAGGTTGCATCGTCGGCCTTGAGTGACGTATCCGTAATGCACAACGTGGTCACATTTGCGAATCGGTCGCCATTGTCGGGGATCGACAAAGTTTTCAGTTTCAGGATTGCGCACAAGTCGATAGTCTTTAGAGACGCAGTCGAAGGTACGGCATCCAGAATGTGCTGCAGATCGAATTCACCTTGCTCGTTCAGGAAACCCGTCGGCGTGTCCCGAGTGATGACGATGCTTTGTTGACGCTCGTCCCAGCAGTCTACTAACGGTCCAGTAGGCGGTGCATTGTAGCTATCGGACGCTAGGGTCGAAGCGAACGATGGCATGCTGTTCGAAGGTATTGTTTCCCGATGCAACGATGAGGAAGAGCGAGCGATCATGCCTGGATGCACCTTTTTGATCGTCGTGTAATGGATCGGGTTCTCTTCCAGAACCTACAAGCAATCATTACATTAGGGCCCCACGTCTATGCCATTTGATAAACAACTCACTATCTGTACTATTCCACGACTGTCCGTTCCCGAAGAAGTGGTGTATGGTCGGTCGAGTCTCAAGGAGTCGATAAGAGGCTCTTCCGCTCGGATTTCGTTCCTCTTGAAGTCGATCGCCTCCAGAGACGGCCATAATATGGCGTGCTCTTGAGCTTGGACGAAGACACCGGTCAGACCATTTCCGCTTAGGGAGAGTCGCTTCAACCGAGGCAGCGTTGCCAGATGCGTGATTTCCAGAACTCCCTGCAAATTGTTTCCGGACAAGTCTAACACCTCGACGTTACGAGGCCACATCTGTGGCAGACCGCGATTCGTGATCTTGTTGTTGGCCAATGACAAGGTACGTATTGACGGCATCACTTCGTCCGTGTCGTCGTCCCGATAATCGGATTTCGTCGGCGTACTTGGAAAAGAGTCGAAAAAGGAAACATCCTTCCGCGATTGCAATAATTCTCGGCTAGGCCTGACAGGGTTGTCCCACGATATGGAGGCGATGCTGTTCCGTGAAAGGTCAACGATTTGGAGAGAGGGTGCGAGGATCAAGCACGCAGGGAAAGCGGAGATCAAGTTGTCCCTGAAGATAACACAATCAGAACAGCTCCACTAGTGGATCCACCCGTACTCACGACATGTCCAACTGAGTGAGCTCTCTCAAGTTGATGATGCTATCCGGTAGTCCTGTCAATCGATTCGAATGAAGCTGCAGAGATCCGTTAGAGGAGATTCGGCATGCTTGTCTCACACAACTCACATCCAAGTTCTTGAGCGCTCCGATCATCCCGATCTGAGCCTCGACCAAGGTCAACGAGTTGCTGGAAGCCTTGATAACAACCAAATCCTGCACTTCGTAGAATGGCACATTCATGATCTCGTCTTCTGCCAGCAACCGCCTGCGTTCCAGCTCGTGCGGCGGAAGGTTCATTTCGTCAAATTGAGCTGTTTCCTCCTCTGGTCGATGCGTCGGAAGAGGAGTAGGTTGCGAGTCGTACAGGGGTAAGTCGTCGCCGGAAAGGTGTAGGATCTTCGTCCAGACTTCTTTCGGCAACCTTTCAAGAGACATGTTGGCGACGTCTAGTCGTCCTGTCGTCAAGGCCTTTCGTATCAGCGTCGGTATGGTTCGTCCAAAGATGTCGCCTGAGCTTGTCGTTTGTGCCAGTCGAGGTTGATCTCTGGTTGATAGATTCGACATTGTAGTTCCCAGATCCGTGACAGACCCCTGCCTTCCCTGTTTCGCGGCACCATCCCGGTTCCCCTGCTCTCCTGATAATCCAGACGCTGCCAGCAGTGCCTTTCGCTTTGCTGCGATCTGTTCTCTGATCGATATCCTGCTTGGAGAGTTCGGTATATTGTCCTGTGACGCAGGTGTTTCAGCTGAGCGCAAGGAGCCCACCGAAGGGGCTGCTCGGAGCGAAGCTGGCCTCACGGGACTCTGAGTACGGGTTGTTGGCACGGCATTCCGCAAGCGTGATGGTGTTGACGAAATGGGAATGGTTGTTCGAGCCGTAACTTTCGGTCGGAGGGCTGGATCTGATATTGGTGCTCGCAGAGAGGCAACCGATGATTTCGTCGATATTGACGCTGGAGATGACGATGTTTTGCGTGCTGGTGTCGGAATGGCGTTTCGCGCGACGGGATGGATCGTGCTTTCCTTTAGCTGGGTCGGGATTCTTGAGCTACGACTAACCAGGGCACTTTCAACTACAGGACGGACGGTTGCTCTTGACGTCGGCTGTGGAATACGGGACACTCGGGGTGATGTAGGCAGAGGAAGACGGCTGGTTGGACGGAAAGTGTCGGACGTTGTCGCCATCTCGTTTCGGTTTCTGGGCTGTTCGGACGAGACCTTCACAGCGTTTGCGATCAGCTTCACTGCAAGTTCGATAGTATCACCAGATGAACATCCACATGTAGCATCATCGCACTAAGGCGGCAACGGAAGGAAGACATGTTTGACTGTTTGAGGTCGAGGAGCTGTTGAGGGATATTCCATGGGTGCCGATTGTTTATTTTGTGAGACGCGCGCTCTTACGACGCAACAAGGGGGGGGGGGTTCTGGACTGTAGGAGCATCTACCTCACAACGACTACCTCTCATAGCTCAGTTGGAAGAGCGAAGCATTGTAATCCCCTCGACCCGTATTCAACGGGTCACTTTTCAGACTGCTTAGGTCGCCCGTTCGATCCGGGCTGAGAGGAGTGACTTTTTGCTGTTTTTCTACTTTTTAGTCCGCCCTACAGCTTCGGAACGACAACCAACTTGAAGCCCTTGGTCTGGAGCACCTTTGAGCGAAAAGCGCGAGTGGATATACCCATTTTTGCCTACTGCACACCGTTTCCCGTCAAGGCATTCCGAGGTCGGAGGAGCTGGAGGGATGGATATCTCGTCTCGTACGCGCTCGAGTCCTCCACCGCGGTCGCATCGGGCGCACCCAGCCTAGGCGACACGACAACACCCTCCCACTTCATATCATTCATCATCACTGTTCATCTCTTACCCAAGAGCTAGCTATCTCACAGGCAGACCCGTTTGCTATCCCCGAGATAATCCAACGAAATGGTGAGCCGAAGCTATCTGAGCGAAACCCACTGATCGCGCACTGACCCATCGCTCACGCTACCAGCCTATGCTTCTAGACATCACCGTGAGTAGAGACAGGTACCACGGGCAAGACGTTAACTGATTGCGCGACATCTCACTCTTGCAGAGAAAGCTCTTGGCACGCTCGGATCGTGTCAAGTCGGTCGACTTTCACCCGACTGAACCGCATGTCATTTGCGGTCTCTAGTATGTTCACTCGTGGATAACCGTCCATGCATCCACTGACGGCACGCTCCTACAGCAACGGTCAAGTCAAGATCTGGAACTATGAAACACAAACCGATTTGAAAACATTCGAGGTGACAGATGTACCTGTTCGATGTGTTCGATACATTGCGCGGAAGAACTGGGTACGTTCCGACTACGCATCATCTTGACGCGAGACTGACCTCTTGTTCTCCAGTTTGTCTCCGGCTCCGACGACTTTCAACTGCGAGTCTACAACATCTCGACCGGAGAACGTGTCACATCGTTCGAAGCGCACCCCGATTACATTCGATGCATGACTGTTCATCCGACTTTGAGTTTGGTATTGACGGGTAGTGATGACATGACGATCAAGGCTTGGGACTGGGACAAGGGATGGCGATGCGTTCAGGTATGTCGCTACGAGTCTGGCAATGACGGCAAGTAACTAATCGCCTTGTGCTCAGATATTCGAGGGTCACACACACTACATCATGTCGCTCGCATTCAACCCAAAAGATCCACAAACGTTCGCCTCTGCCTGTCTCGATCACACCGTCAAGGTATGGTCTCTCGGATCGTCTGTCGCCAACTACAGCTTGGAGGCGCACGAAAAGGGGGTCAACTACGTCGAATACTACCACGGTGGTGACCGGCCGTATATCGTCACGACAGGCGATGACAGGACCGTCAAGATTTGGGACTACCAAAACAAGTCGTGCGTCCAGACTCTTGAAGGTCATTCCGCGAACGTCTCGTTCGCCATCTTCCACCCTTCGTTGCCGATCATCATTTCCGGTTCCGAAGACGGTACCGTCAAGATCTGGCATTCGTCAACCTACCGATTGGAGACTACGTTGAGCTATGGGTTGGAGAGATGTTGGTGTATTGCATACCGCAAGAGCGGCAACGAGATTGCCATCGGTTATGATGAGGGTGCCGTTGTTGTCAAGGTGAGTAGAATGTTGCGAAGTGCTGCCGACAGTTGTTAACCACCGCCGGCATCATCAGCTTGGCCGAGAAGAGCCTTCGGTGTCTATGGACGTATCCGGCAAGGTCGTCTACGCCAAAAACACGGAAATCCTGACTGCCAATGTCCAAGCTGTTGCTGACGATTCCATTGTGGACGGACAACGTCTCGCTATACCCGCACGAGAACTGGGTGCGACTGAAATCTTCCCTCAAAGCTTGCAACATTCTCCTAACGGAAGGTAGGTCCGACGCATGAAACCAATAGCGCCCTAACTAAGTGAAGTATACTTGACCTAGATTTGTAACTGTTTGCGGAGATGGAGAATACATCATCTACACAGCTCTCGCTTGGCGGAATAAAGCCTTTGGTTCTGGTACTTCCTTTGCCTGGGCAACCGACTCCAACACTTATGCCGTACTCGAAGGCAAATCTAAAATCCGAGCGTTCCGAAGCTTCAAGGAGCGACCAGGATTGATCAAGGGTACTTCTGGTCTCATCTTTGACGCCGTTCACGGTGGAGCATTGTTGGCGGCGCGTGGTAATGGCTTCGTCATCTTCTGGGACTGGGAAACGGGAGCGATTGTGCGAAGAATCGAAGTTGACGCTACAGGCGTAAGTCAATCGGACCGCATCTCCTTAGACACTTTGTTGATAGTATCTGCGATACTTTTAGGTATCCTGGTCCACCACTGGCAACCTTGTCGCAATTTCTAGCCCCGACTCCTTATACCTGCTTCGATTCGATCGTGATGCGTACAATGCCCGACTCGATTCCGGAATCGAGATCGGAGACGAAGGTGTCGAGGAAGCTTTCGACCTTGTCACCGAAATACCTGAAAGGTAGGCAGTTCTCCCTTGCGCGCCTGTCTTCCGCCATTAACTCGATTTTTCTTTCGTTGCGTAGCGTCAAGACCACCAAATGGGTTGGAGACTGTTTGATTTACACCAACTCTGCCAACCGCCTCAACTACATTGTCGGCGAGCAATCCCACACAATCAATCACTTTGACCAGTGAGTAAAAATGATGGCAACACATAATCATGGATGCTGATTCCTTATCTACAGAAACATGTACCTCTTGGGTTACCTGCCGGCTCACAACCGAGTCTACGTAGCGGACAAGGATATGAACATCTTTAGCTTTGCCTTGTCTCTAATTGTTGTCGAATACCAAACCGCTATCCTCCGAGGTGATCTTGATGCCGCCAACGAGATACTGCCTACCGTGCCTCAGGGTGAACGAAACAGAATCGCTCGTTTCTTGGAAAGTCAAGGTGAGCAACTTGTTATCAGGTTTTTCAGTGTAGGGTGTTGACGGCATCTTCCTTGTTCCCGCAGACATGAAGGAATTGGCTCTCCAGGTAGCCACCGATCCGGATCAACAGTTTGATCTTGCTATACAACTAGACGACCTCGACAAGGCGCTTGAGCTCACGCGAACATCACCAGAAGCCGGATCCGAGGCCAAATGGCGTACTGTTGGGGACAAGGCTCTAGCGGCCTGGAGAATGGATCTTGCTCAGGAATGCTTTGAGAAAGCAAGCGATCTACCGACGCTGTTGCTGATCTACAGCTCACTGGGCGACAAAGATGGCATGCAGAAGTTGGCAAAACTTGCTAGTAAGTGATTTCGTGGATACACTCGAAAGGAGCACACCAGTCCTGATCATAATTCGACCTTAATAGTTGAAAAGGGCCAAAACAACATCGCGTTCAACTGCTTCTTCCAGACCGGCGACATCGCGTCATGCATCGATGTTCTAATCAAGACCGACCGCGCACCTGAAGCTGCCCTCTTCGCCCGTACATACGCCCCTTCATTCGTCCCCGCGACAGTCAAGACTTGGAAGAGTTCGCTCGGAGCCGTCGGTAAACAAAAAATTGCGCAGACTCTGGCTGATCCGGAAGAGGGTGACGAGGAATTATTTGAGGAAGGGTGGCAGGATGCCCTTGCACGAGAGCAGAATGGCGAACAACGCCCACAATCGGACGGCCAACAGGGGGCCGAGCCATACGCCCTCGAGGCGGATGCACAAGCAGTGCCTGGGAATGGGGAAGCTGCGACAGAAGAAGAAAAGCCGTCCAAGGCCGTGGAAGTGATTGAAGATTTGGTCGAGAAAGCAAAGGAGTTGGTGATTGGTGGTGATTCCGCCGAACCTGCGACGGGTAAGCCATTTTCGATGTATACATGCGAGAATCCAGTTGATATCGACCGTGCTTTCTCTTGCAGGTGGATCGGCTGACCAAGAGGAGAACGTGGAGGAGGCCGAGGCGCCCGAGGACGAAAACAAAGCAGAGGATGCGCCACCAGTCGCTCCCTCGTCGAAATCGAAAAACAAGAAGAACAAGAGTAAATAGTATGGTAGAGCGCATTGCTTACATTATGCTCTCCATATGATCTGGTGAATAGCGTTACACAAGCGTCGCTCAGCGTATAGAGGCGTTGATGGTTGTTTTCTTAGATGTCTTTGTATATGCCTATTCATTCAATTCGCAACCCACGTTGGTACTGTTGCAGCTTCCGGCCGGTTTACACTTTTGCAGAATTCGCTTTGGCATAGCCAATCGCCTGGTCGACCTATCCAACAAAAAAAGGAGGAGGAGAGACTTGACTCCTCGGTTGGTGTATGCGCGGAGGTGTCAATACTGGGTTTTCTTTTGCTTGATAATGGATGCAGCAGGGGGCAATGCTTGGTGGAGAATTCAGCAGCATGCTGTAAGAGAGGGTGAATGCAAGGATCAAACAGACACCTAGAAGAAGGTAGAAACAGGCTGGGGTAAAGCTTTGTTGCTAGCTAGTTAGGAGGGAGTGATCGAGGATTGGAAACTCGTTTGTTGACAGTGTACTGCTGCGCATTGTCAATCCACGGCCTCGACTGAATTCAAAAATCTATGCAGAACGACAAGAATGACAGTAGTGTTATGTACATAATCCGTGGTGACGACGGATAGACAGTACGAAATGATGAACCTGGACAGAGGGGAAAAGCAGCAGAGAACAACACTTCCGGATCGGGTAAGTTCAAGCAAACGTTGCGCATGTTTCCAAATACTAAGTCTAATGCATGTCCTGTCTCGTGATCGTTGTTCTATATCCTAGTTTCAGGACACCGGCGCCGTTTTATTCCCACGGCGTCGTACCGTATACTCGCGACCATCATCGCAAACAAACCGGATATATTGCATGCTCATGGTGAATGTACGTTCATCATCTCAGCTTGCAAGATCCGCGACAGATATAGGATCTCACACTGATCTCATCGTCCAGCAGGCAGCTCAATCTTTCTTGACACCCCTTGAAGCACGAATGTCCCTCCAACTCACCAGCTTAGGACGCTTGCACGATGTGAAATCTTCTGTACTGCAATTCAGATCATCATACAAACCGCTGTGACACCACTTGCTTTTTCGCCGTGACATACAGTAGAGCGTCCTCG